TGGTGAACCCAAGATGTTGGCCTTTGCTCTTGTGAAAGACTGGCGACTGAAAGGAAGCCGCCCACCCTCGAGTGCACTCATCTCACCTCTCAAGTGGCTTGGGCAGTTGTGGGAAAGATCTCCTGGCGACTGTAGTCCGTATGGCGGTGAAGAGTCAGGCCGCTTTCATACGGATGCAATGCAGCATAAGTATTGATTTGGTATTACCATCATGTATTACATTATACATTCAACCGGCTTCAATGTTATGTACAGTTCAGTTTATTGCCGAGTTAATTGTTAATTGTAATACCAGTTCTACCTCTTTCCTTTTCTCGGCAAAATAAGGCTTGTGCTCACAAAGAGCCTCGCCCCAGACCAACTTTCCTCTCCCCTGCGCCAATCACATAATTATTTATGAGATGTGTTCACCCTATTTCGTTTAGGGTGATAGGGAGAGTAGTGCTAGTCGATTTTTCCTACAATGATATGTGTAGAATTTGACATATCCTTGCTTTCCCAAAGGGTATCCTCATCCCGGCGGGACTCGAACCATGTCACTGCAGCTTCTGATCTCGAAACATTGAGCACTACACCAGAAAGTCACAAATGCCAATGGGTCACAGTGCAAAAGTGAATTTCCCACATTACAATTTGTCGTGGGAGTCTTGTATTTGCTACAGCAATCGACTATGTTAACTACTTTTCGTTTATGAGTAGTTTTACGAAATTACCAGTAGGTCGTTTATACGTGAAGTGGCAATGGGGTGTAGTGGTTTACGTTTCGAGTTTATGTGCTGTCGGGTCATACTTCGAGTCCCGCTGAGGGTGTTGGTCGGACCCACTTCAGCATGGATTAGAAGACCCTTTGGGAAAGCAATGCTATGTGAAATGCAACGGAAGCGTCATGTCTGTTCATTGGCTTGCGGTAAAATTCAACTATCACTCCTCATATCACCCTCAACGAAATATGATGAATGCACCTGATATTTATGATCTTGTGGTAATCTAGAAAGCCTATTTATAAACAAATATCACAAAAATATTCTTCATCCAATAGCCAGTTTGAGGGAAACAGTGAAATTTGGTAGATTTGGTCTTGACCTCTAAATGAGCGTCTCCATTTATATGCTGGCCCAACTACTCAAACTCCGGCCCGGCTGGGATGCCAGCGGTCCAGAAGGGATTGGTCAATCTGTGCTCAAGACGGCCTCTTGCTTGGGGGCCTTGCAGTGCTTTCAGCAGACTTGGACAGCCCTTGGAAGTGTGTGGCTTTACGGCAATTATACGGACAGACAGTCTGATCAGGTCTAAGGCGAGTTGGGCTAGAAGAGAATATTAGTTAGGGCGACTTGGCAACCATTCTAACCAGCCAACGATGTAAATACGGAAAATGTAATAAATAGTCCTTGTAAATCCGCATTTACATGTTATTGCCTGCAATGAAGGCAGTGGCAATAAACATTTGCAGATTAACTCATTTTTTACGTGCATACTGGCGTTATCTTGGGCTTGGTTAAAACGGCTAGCAGTACAGCGCAAGTCCTATTTTCCCTCATCCACGGTAGCACTGTTCCAGACGCCATCTCAAAAGGGCACCTCGACACCATACCAACTAAAAAAGAGTCATTTATTCTCCTTGATCGGCCGACACTACCAAGACCTTTCTGATTTGTCGGCCTTGGAAGCGTGACGAAGTGGGCAAACTGTAGCACGATCTCGGAGGATTTTTCCACGATGAACTGAGCAGAAGACCTCATGAATCCATCAAATGTCACTTTAGAGTGCAGAATCCAGCATGAATTTCGTGACAAAGCAAACCTTTCTCTCTCTCTCTCTCTACACATATATATATATATATTTCGTTATTTCTTTATTCATAGTTATAGTTATAAGTATAAAAAAATTAAAAAGTAATTTATATCTATATAT